CCATTCCATGGACACAGATAAAATTGCATCTGTGTTCTATACTATGGTCATCCCCATGCTGAATCCTGTGGTGTACAGCCTGAGAAACAAAGAAGTCAAGAATGCATTCAAGAAGGTTGTTGAGAAGACAAGATTGTCTGGAGGATTGAGCTTTTAACATTGTAGGGTTCATTATAACCTAGCTTCATTTCCTTCAGAACTTCTCCCTGAAATTAATCACATTTCTACCTTCACAATGCATTTGGAAGTAATGTATTTGTATATGACCACAAACATCTCCACTGTTTAAAAATGTACTGAGTGCGACCAGCAGGTGGTATAGTAGTTAAGTTGCTGAATTTCCATTTGCTTATTGCAGTTCTTGTCTCAGACGTGGTGGCTTAAAACATGCCAGGTAAGTGTGCACATGAGAAGAATGGAGAAGGAATTATTATGGCTTGCCAATCCCCTCTTGGATATTTGGGCGGTGGGGAGAGTTTGTACTTTGTGTCTCTCTGTTTCTCTAGTGAGTGCACACACTCTATCGCAAAAATCTCCCCCAAGAAAAGAAGGTTCTTGCTATCATTCTACTTCAGCTATGTTTTCTTCCAATAAGGGTTTTCAACTTGCTTTGAAGAATATTGTGCCGAACAGTTACTTAGTATGTGTCAGAAGAAATAAGGTGTGTGCTTTATAATCCTACAGAATACTCATTCACCTACATAAGACGTATGTTGTGCCATCACATGTCACTCCTAGCTTTTTATCTCACTACACTCACACCAGTCTCAGATAGTTGATACTATTCTAAGTATGTTCCTGTCTCAGGGAATTCATACTTGCTGTTATCTCCTTGTATTGATCCAAACAGAGATAGTTTTATTTCTTCCATTTCTATTTGGATACCTTTTAATGTAGTTTGTCTCGTCTAATTGCTTTGGATAGACTTCCTGGTACAATTTGAAACAGAGGTGCTAAAAATAGGAATACTTTGTACCTCATATGTGAAGTTGCTGGCCATTCAACTTTAAAAATTGTGTTTTTTTTGGACCAGCTGTTAGCGTAATGGCTATCTCGCTGGACTCCCTTGTAGTCGAACATGGTTCACGTCCCGGACCCGGTGACTTAAAATTCACGCCGGGCACGTGTGCGTGTGTGCCCAAGATCCCAAGAGGAGAATGGAGGAGAAGGGATTGCAGCGTGGCCATCCCCCTTGGGGGGTGATTTCTGTCTCTCTGTCTCTCTGTCTCTCTCTGTCTGTCTGGCGAGTGCAAGTGCCCTATAGCAAAAATAATAATAATAATAATAATAATAATAATAATAATGGTTGGGAGCCATTTAAGGATGCTGGACTGGACTCTCATATGGCTGACCGTAGTTGAGTCCTGGTCCTGGTAGCTTGCTTTCTCACTTTCTCTCTCCTCTGCCCCTCTCTAGTCAAATTAAAATAAAATAAATGAATAAATAAATAAAGTTAAGTTTTTAAAAATTTTGTTTGATGTGTGTGTACTTGTGTGTGTGTGTAAAGTGTTTTAGAAGAGGTCTTGTTGTCTCCTGCCCCAGCCTCCCTATGGCTAAG